CCAGTTGATGTTAGTTCACACATTGGTCTGAACGTGGATTTAGGCACAGACCCTGAAGGGAGTGTATGCAGGGAAGCCCAATCTAGTGGACAAGGAACACAAGGAATGGGAGATGGGGGAATCAATCGCCAAGTGATATTCGAGATGCTGCAAGCTCAACAGATCGCCATCGCTTAACTTTAAATTCAGAATAATTCTCCGAGTATAGCTAAACTAGAAAACACTCGACGTGCTGAACCAACCTAAGAGAGGTTGAACTGAAATGACTCGGGGACTGAACCCACCATTATGAGGATGCTCGAAGAGCTTACCAAGAGAATATAGTCTGGGAAAAGAAGATTGAAGACAATGACAAAAAGGTGGAGACTTATAACTCCCGTGTTGATCAAATACCGGGGGCACCTCGAGTTTTGAAAGGTTTAGATACCAAAAAGTTCATACAAAAACCATTCCCTTAGAGCGCGGTTTCGATGCCCATTCCCAAGAAGTTTTTCATGCCCGATATACCCAAATACAATGGGATAACCAACCCTAACAAGCATATTACTTCATACACCTGCGGTATCAAAGGAAATGACTTGAATGGCGATAAGATCGAATCTGTTTTGCTGAAAAAGTTTGGAGAAACACTATCGAAAGAAGCTATGGCTTGGTATCACAACTTGCCTCCTAACTCAATTGATTTTTTTTACTATGTTAGCAGACTCCTTCATGAAAGCACACGTTGGGGCCATAAAGGTGGCAACGAGGAAATCAGACGTCTTCAAGATAAAATAAAGGAACAACGAGATGTTGAGGAAGTTCGTGTCTAGGTTTCATATGGAGCGCATGGAATTACCACTGGTCTCAGATGATTGTGTAGTACAAGCTTTTATGCAGGGTTTGAATGAAAGGAGTTCGATTGTGTCTCGACAATTAAAGTAGAATCTGATCGAGTATCCAGCTGTGACGTGGTCGGACGTACATACCCGTTACCGATCAAAGATTAGGGTCGAGGACAACCAGTTGGGAGCCCCCTTGGGCTCAGTTTGTCCTAATAGGCTGGCCGCTAAGCCCCCGAGGGATACAGACAGGGAATCAAGATTCAACAAAGAACGGTATTAGCCGTATGTCGATCGGAGAAACAACGGCTCAGGTCGTAATGCTCCTCAGAATGATTGGAGAAACAATCGAGGTCAAAGTTCTCGGGGACTCATGAGTAAAAATGGGTTCAATAAACATATTGACCCTGTAAAGGCACCTCGACTGTCAGAGTATAATTTCAGTGTAGATGCGTTAGGGATTGTGTCAGCTATTGGAAGGATCAAATATAACAGGTGGCCCAGGCCTATACAAACCTATCCTTCTCAAAGGAACCCAAACTTGATGTGTAAGCATCATGGCACACATGGCCCTAAAACCGAAGACTACAGGCAGCTAAGGGAGGAGGTAGCTCGGTTGTTCAACAAGCGTCACCTTCGAGAATTTCATAGTGATCGAGTAAGAATCACATTACGGAGAGAGATGCAAGCAGAAAAAACAAGCAAGAAGAACCACAACATGTAATCCACATGATCGTCGGCAGTGTCGATATCCCACAAAGATCTGTATTCAAACGCACCAAGGTGTCGATCACCAAAGAAAAACGGACCCAGAGCTATGTGCCCGAGGATATACTATCACTTTATGACGAGGAAGTAGAAGGCATATCTTAGCAGCACAATGATTCCCTGGTAATTTCTATTTTTTTAAATAATGTTCAAGTTAAACGTGTTCTAGTGGATCCAGGTAGCTCAGTAAACATAATCAGATCGAGGGTCGTAGCACAGCTTGGCTTGCAGGATCAGATTATACCTGCATCCCTGATCTAAATGGCTTCAACATGACAAGCAAAACAACAAGGGGNAAAGGTGACATGAGGTATAATGCACTCCTCGGGAGATCATGGATACATAACATGAGAGCAGTACCTTCAAATCTTCATTAGATGATGAAGTTCCCAACAGACGATGGAGTGAAAATGGTTTACGGAGAGCAATACGCTGCAAAGGAGATGTTTGCAGTCGATGAAGTGACACTGATACAAGAGCCTTCGACCTCGGAAAAGTCGAACACCAAAGGTAAGCAAGCGGCCAAATAGCAATCACCGCCTCCAGCCTCGACGGAATTGGCGCAATAGGTTATCAAAGACGAAGAAGAGGATTTCCTTACTCCTCGAACTTTCGTCGCCCCCGAAGAGTCCGATGCAACCAAGTCAACGATCGAGGAACTGGAGAAGGTCCTACTAATCGAATACCGAGAGAAAGGTATATCTGGGATATGACAGGGATTCAACCAGAAATAACTGCACACCGGCTAAGCCTCGACCCCAAGTTCAAACCGGTAAAGCAAAAAAGGAGGCCCCAGATCGAGGTGAAGCATGCATTCATAAAGGACGAGGTAACCAGACTTCTTAAAATAGGATCTATTCGGGGGGTAAAATACCCCGAATGGTTAGCCAACATAGTTGTAGTTCCTAAAAAAGAAAATAATCTTACAATGTGTATAGATTACAAGGCTTTGAACAAAGCATGCCCCAAAGACTCTTTTCCACTACCTAACATCGATCGCATGATAGATGCCACGGCCGGTCACGAGATCCTGACTTTTCTCGACGCCTACGCTGAGTACAATCAAATTAAGATGAACCCGGAGGACCAGGAAAAGACATCGTTTATTACTAAATTTGGAACTTATTGTTACAACATAATGCCCTTTGGGCTAAAAAATGCGGGAGCTACATACCTGTTACGCCACGTACTTTAATATTAGGATAATTCGTATTAATCCATATGAGGTTGAAGGATTAAGACGCCAAAAGTTTAACAACCTTAATACTATTAGATATTATGTTAGTGTGGTATTTTCTTTTAAGTAAAATATTTTAGTAAAAGTTTTATAATTATAATTTTCGATAGTTACCATTATTACTATTTTCGGAGATGGTAAATTATACTCATAATATAAGAAAGTTTATGAGATTTTATTTATTGTAGAGATAAAAAAAAATTATCACAAGAAAAGAAGGTTATATTTTTACCATTTTAAGAATTAAGCGTACGAAAATTATTACTCTTTATATGAGATTAGTAAAATTAGAAGTTGAGAAAATATATGTATTTTTTTACACGAATGTTTTAATGAAATAATAGTGTGTCTAGTGATTTTATACGATACCATATGACCATGATAATAAGTTATATAAAGTGTGTGAAAAGTAAATAGTATTATAAGTAATTTGAGACGATTCATAATTACGCGGGTAATTGGTTAATTACCGAATAGTGGGATATTACTTAATTAATTAATTAATTATTGGATAAAATTAACAAATCTTTCACGCGGCAGCCTTATAACATAAACTAAGTGACTCTTGCATTTTTTTTAAAATGTGGCATACATCTACTACGTAGCGCATTCCTTTTTTCCATGTATAAGCAAATATGACATTTTAACATGAAAAGCTTGTAGTTTTATACTTTTATGAGCTTCCATACTTCTATAATTGCAAAAGGCTACGCAAGATGTACCGATGTAGTGGTAGAAACTCTCGGAAACATGGCTTAGAATATTTTGAGTCTGTTTCTGAATATCCTTTAAAAGTTGGTCCTTAATTAAGTTTCCAACTATAAGCATTTTTGCTCCCTGCCTCTGGTAATTCTGTTTGCCTGAGTAATACACCATTTTAGAAAGAATATCACACTTCATCTAGCAGGGAGTAAGTGAGCATATATTTTTTTTGGTTCTAGAAACATGTAGGAAAATACTGGATTGAGAAGTTGGTAGGATGATTGTCAAGGACGGGAAAGGTCTTCCCCTAAACTCCCAAATTATTTACCATTAAATGAGAATATCTCAATCTTCATGTTTAGTTTAGAGATAGCTAAAGTATCAAAAGTTACGTATATAATGCAGAAGCAAACACCGTGCTTTCAAAGTATTGAGAAGTTTAGCCACCAAAGATGGAAGATGTGGCCTAAATAATATTGTTGTAGCGTGAGGATTTATGAACTTTGAAAATATAGGGGCAGCCAAGCATGAAAGTATGTGTTTTCTCATTTCCGTAACGAGACTTCCTTGAGTCTATTTTTCCTACTTCGATCTGATCATAATTGACGTGTGTCAGAGGGATTATCAAGAGAAATGGCTTAGGTATATTAAGGATATCTCTTCTTTCTTTTGGCATGATCTATAATACAAATAAAACGAGCAAAATATGCAACTTTCATAAATGACTCTATTCCTAGAAATACTAGGGGTATCTATATTCTTGATTCCCCATGTAAATTATTATTATATCTTCTGTTCATGGGTCTCACAAAAATACGTATTTGATAAAGTTAATCCGAAAGACATATTGATTTTTATGGCATTCCGAGAAAATCTTATTAACTTATTTCTTATGCATTTCATGCATTTATACATGTACATTGACACATGATCAGATGGCGTTATATACGCGTACATATGTATATTATATTTATATGGGATATGAAAAAAAAGTTACGGCGTTATATACGCACCACCACCTAATCAACTGGTATACGTTCATGATTTACCTACAGTGGCCGAGATGATATGATGGGATACCCTCGGAGGCTTTATGATGGTATGAATGTACAGACCTATGCATTACATGACATTTATATGCATATGCATGATACACTACAACAAATTTGGTCTAAGGCCACATTAGTTTTTGACAACGCTTGAAAAGCGTGGCCAACTATATCTATGACATCACTTTATAATGGTGGTCTTTGAAAAGTACTTTTAACTACGATTTATTAGGTGACGACTATAAAGTGTTCATGTTAATATTATAGGCTACACTTTTTAAGTATTGCCAAATCATAAATTATTGGCAACATTTATTCGTATGTGATGCAATGCTTTCTGAGCATGCTTGTTAATATTTGTAAAGGCAACTCTATATAAGCGTGCTCTAAAATATTTTCTAAATGTTCCCGCTACAATTTCCCCCTAAAATTTTGCTAAAAAACTATGCCCTAAAATATTTCGCCAAAACCTATCTTCCAAATTTTACCCACACTAAAAGAATCTCTTCGTTTTTCTTCCCTAAAATTTCATAAGCAAAGTTGGGGTTCTTCTCTTATCTTTTAGCAGATCGAGTAAAGCAAAGTAGAGTGAGTTAAAATACTTCTGGTGTCTTAATATTGTAGATCTTAACGAATTTTTCTTCTATCCCATATCAAAGCATAATATAGGAGACCTGGAGTGTGATTGTTGTCTTAATATTTTCTTTCATTCCTCTAATTCATGCAGATCTCATAATGTAATATTGGAAATCCTCAATCTTTGGGTCAGCAACCTATTACTTTCTTTACGGAGGTAGGAATAAATTGTTTGATTCTAGATTATGTTACTTGTCTCGTCGAGTAATGTCTAAAGTGAACTCCTTTATTTAGGTCCTTGCATTATGTGACCATTCAGTTATTTTGGACAAAAGTGTAACACAAGGTCTGTTCAGGTATAAAGTTTGTCTATTAACCTCCTTGCACCTTGTAGCACAATGAAATTATTCATGTGCCTTAGTTTCTAGAGATGTCTGAAGAAGTGGAATTAACATGTCTAATTTTTATAAACCAAATGTTTTCCCCTGTATTTTTTAAACATGTCACAGTTAAATCTCCTGCTACTGATGGAAGCTTTTGTCCTTGCTATTGTATAGTAAATAATTTGCATCCGAATATTAATGATATTATTCTTTTTTAGTGTTTTGAAGTCAAAGTCCAACTTATAAAACCAAGTAATGTGATTGTTATTGTAATTGATGCAAGTTAGCAAAAGTGAACTATGAGAGTGGTGACTTGATGCTATTTCATGTCATCTTGACACATCAAGTAATGTTTTTGAGGCCTGAAAAAAAGTGAAATGTATTACTTTAAGCTAAAAGATCAATAGAATATGGAATGTTGTGATGATTGAGAAGCTCCGTGGTAATATATTTGATCGTGAACATTTTGAGATAATTGATGAGTCTGTTTTATTTGCACCTACCGCTTGTGGGTATTGTTTCAGTTTTAGCTTCAAATTGTATACATATTATCCGATATTTTAAAAAAAATTGCAAGTGGCTATAATCAAACTCTTACTTTTTCCTTATTCTGTGAAATCAGTGCAATGTAATGTTATTATTGAATTATAGTGACTCACTTTTTATTATTCAAAAGCTTGTATGTTTTAGTTGATAGGTTCTTTCTTTGACCTTTTCCTTTTCCTACATACAATGGTATTGATTATGACTTTACACCCAACTAGAAGCAAAAACCTTTTGCCTGGACATTTATTGGAACATCGGTCACCAATGTAAAGGAGTATGGTGAATAATTTGAATCAACTTCAGCCATGTTCTACAGGATTTTGTGGTCTAAATAGCATTTGTCCTGCTACCTGTGATAAGGAAAAGGTGATTTCTGAACTGCGTCTAATAGAACCAATCAGAAACTACGAGAAAATGTTATTTGATGTATTTCATTCTCTCCTTACTTTGTAGTGCGGATTTAATAGAACAAGCTTTCTAGATCCTCGACCAAATTCCTGGCAGAGCGACATGTGTATACAACCATAGTCAGGTGACAATATCTTCTATTGTAATGTCCTAGATTTGCAGCCAGTATACTCCTAGAACTTATTTTTATTTTTGCTAAACTTTAGGGTGTCAAAGGATTACGTGATACAATTGATTCTGGTGTCGATAATATTGGTTCTTCATCCTCTATTCAGGTTCACATGATGAAGCAGTCGTTCATAGAATGATAGAACTCTCTGTCCCATCCCCCAATATCCACTTTATTCCGCTTCAATTTCCCTCCATGGCGACACTCTCGTACGTGCATTTGCTTCAATTTAAAGTTGACCAGTGCTAGTTGTATAGTTGGCCTTAATAGGCTAGATTAACCTACTTCTGGAAGAGATTATTATAAACGTTTATTAAAGGTGACACGTGAGCCTCTTATGCATGCTTTTATCTGGTATTTTAGGTTCCCTATTATCCTGATGAAGAAATATGATGGGGCTGGGGGATCTCAGAGCTTGAGAATCAGTTGAAAATTGCAAAATCCAAGGGTATTAAAATTAGGTCTTTGGTTTTGATTAATCCAGGCAACCCAACGAGGCAGTTAATGGTTTATTAGATTTTGGAATCTCATCATTGATTTTAATCATTTAGGAAGAACCTACTGTGGTGGAGAATTCTGGCCTTCCCTTTCCTAATAAAACTTCAGAATGTTTACATATAGCATGAATAGCTTCTATGTATCCATTATGTTCTTGCTGACACCAACCAACGAGCTATTGTGGAATTCTGCAAGAAAGAAGGTCTCATTCTTTTAGCGGACGAAGTGAGTTTATTTCCCTCTAGATGCTTCTTTGCTTGATTATGGAAATTTTTTTACTTCTATTGGAATTTACCAGCGATTCTGCACTTGTTTGAGGGGGGGGTAACAATTTTTTCATTCCTGAGTATTGTGTAGCTAATTCTCAAATTGTAAGCCTCTCATATTTTGTGGAACTCATGCAGATGTATCAGAAAAATGTTTATGTGCCTGAGAAGCAGTTCCACTCATTTAAGAAAATTGCTCGGTCTATGAGATTTGGAGAAAAAGACATCTCTTTAGTTTCTTTTCAATCTGTATCAAAAGGTACATCGTACTACCTCCATCCATCCCTCTCTTGTTGGTGGTCTTTCTTTCGTTTGTCTGCATCTTACGAAGTTGTGGGGGAAAAGGATTCTCATCTCATAATATATATTGGAAGCTGAAATGGAGATAAACAATTTCATATTATTTGCAGGCTATAACAAATAATGCATCTTTGTGTGTCTCAGTTGCAAGTATTGGAAGGCATATCTACTAAAGGGAATAAAGAAAATGCAAATGGGAACTTAAGGCTTACAAACCTTCAGAAATTTCTATGGGTTTGAATAAGAAAACCTCACACGCTGATTAGATTAATGGTGTGGTCAAGCTTATAGAAATGGATCAATTAAAAAATCAGGAGATGTTGTGAAAGATGTTAAATAAGGCATGTATTAGAAAAGAAACTTGTAGATAAGGGTATATCAAATGGGGTTTCTAATAAATGCTAATTTAAATTGATTAATATGTGTAAAGTGTTATCATGATACATAATTTTATTTTATTTTTAGTTTATTGTTAGGCTGCACCTTTGAACAATCGGTGCTGCTAGTTAATGTAGTATATGAAATATAAGCGTACGCATTTGAACTTTTTCATTAATTGTTATTTGATGTAGTTGAGATCTTCATACGTAGCAATGATCTCAAAATATCTGGTAATATATGTTAGGTAATAAATGTTATTACTTGGTATATTTAAAAAAATATAATTTTATTATAAAAATAATAGCACTTTACATGGATTCTAGCAGAAGCTACGCTTGAACAATGTGGCCTATAAGGTTCCAAAAGCCACACTTTGAAAGTGTTGCTGAAGGACATAAAAAGCGTTAGTATAAGGGTATGCGCAAGCGTGATCTTTGTACCTTATAGGCCACACTTTTGAAGTGTGGCTTCTAAAGTAACACTTCAAAAGCGTGGCCTTATGTCAAGGGTTACGCCAACTTAGGCCACCCCGTTAAAAGCGTTGTCTAAAGTTAAAAAGTGTGGCTTTTTCTCAAATGCCACACTTTATGCTAGTTTAGGCCACATTATTCAAGGGTGCCTGAAGGCTTAAAATGTTGTAGTGATACTATAAATATTTCATGATTTACAGAGCTATCTAGACTTACAGGTTGAGTTCATTACTCCATATTTCTTCCATGTCCTTTATATACTGATTTACATGCCTTACATACTCGGTACATTATTCGTACTGACATTCTTTTGTTGGGGACGCCGTATTCATGTCTGCTTTTATACATAATCAGTTTGATGAGCCCCCATAGTAGACGAGATTGGCATTCAGCGAAGGATAGGTAAGACTCCACCTCATTCGGAGTGTAGCCGAGTCTATGAGTCATCGTGTCAGAGTTTTGCTACAGCCTTATGGGTAGGCTGGTACCCAAATAATGTTGAATAATCTATTAGAGGCTTTGTAGACAGAGGTCCATTTTGAACAGTATGTTAGAGGTCATGACGACCCATATGTATTCATGTTTTAAGAAAAATGGCTTAGCAATATAATATTGTCCACTTACAATTGTACATTATGAGTTGTGGCCATATTGGCCCATGATAGTTACAGAAGAAAAATGTCACGACCCTAACCCCGAACCCGGTCGTGATGGCGCCTCTCGTGAAGATAGGGCCAGCCAGATCAAAACAGAACACCTCATTTAAACAAATAAATACCATAAATAGTTCTAAAACATGATATAATAACCATAATTTGCGGAAATAATGATAACAACAGTAGAAACTATCCCGACACAACCCAAACCGGGGTGCCACAAGTCATGAGCAACTAATAAATCTGGATACCAGTCTACTAGATACAAAATCAGATACAGAAGTTCAAGAACATGACAACAATATGATAAGGAAGGCACGGGGGCTGTGGATGCCAACAACTACCTCGTGGTCTCCGAAAACACTGCATGGACTGGGAAGATCAGCACTCAGGAGCGGACTCTGCGATGCCAGAATCTGCACACATGGTGTATGGAGTAATGTGAGTACTCCGACCCAGTAAGAAATAAATATAAATAATGGCTGAAAGCAAGAAAACACGTAAAGGCACAAAGCAATTCTATATCAAGCAGTAAAATCGCTTAAAGCAGTAAATCGATGAAAAAGTCAAATGAAATTCCTTTAAACCAAGTAAAACAGGTAATTTAGCAGGTAAATAACAAGTAGAAATCCGCCCCTCGAGCACAGTAACAATCACACAAAACAGTATCAGCCCCTCGGCTCACTCTCAGTACAATATCAACCCCTCGTGCTCACTCTCAGTATAGTATCAGCCCCTCGGGCTCACTCTCAAATCATGATGGGTACTCGCGCTCACTATGGGGGTGCAGACTCCGGAGGGATCCCTTACGACCCAAGCTCTATATCAAGCCACCTCGTGGCGTATAAAAGTATCTCAGGCCCTCGGCCTCATATCACTCAGCATATCCTCACATATGGCCCTCGGCCTCACTTAGTTCAAAAATCATCACAAGCCCCTCGGGCATTAGTAAAACAGTAGTTCTCAGCCCAAAACATCATTTAGAAATATCATTTAAGTTTCAAATATGAATAAAAGTGGTTGAGTTTGTAAAACAGTGAATATCGACAGGACTGAGTCCAAGTAATAAGTCAAACAGTGAGGAATTAGTGATAAAAATCCATGGAGGATTCAAATAGTTGGCACGAAGCCCAAATATGGCAATCAGCCCAAATAATGATGATAACAAATAAGTTTCAGTCAAATACGCGATAAAATCATCAATCGGGACGGACCAAGTCACAATCCCCAATAGTAAACGACTCCACGCTCATCATCAGCACTTGTCTCACCTTAATATAGCACTACGATGTGTAATCCGGGGTTTCATACCCTCACGACATCATTTACAATCATTACTCACCTCGAACCGGCTACAACTCTAGCTCATGATGCCTTTGTACCTCGAATTGGCCTCCATGCGCATTGGATCTATCGAAAATAAGAACGAATACATCACAATATGCTAAGAGAGCAACGCCCAAGCAAAAACAATCGAAAAATATCAAAAATCCCGAAATTAGCAAAACCCGAGCCCCGCGCCCACTTCTCGAAACTCAGAAATTTTTACATCATTAGATTCCTTATCACCCCACGAGTTGATACATACCAAAAGTTCTCAATTCCGACCTCAAATGGTCCTTCAAATCATAATTCAAAAGTTCAAAAGCACAAGCCCTAGTTCTTCCATTTTTAGCTTAGTTCTATGAATTTCTAGGTGGATTTCACAATAATAATCGAGTACTGAGTTCAAAATTCTTACCTCTAGGTGATTCCCCTTAAATCCCTCTTCAATATTCTTCAACAAGCTCTCAAAATGATCAATAATGGAGTAAATGAGCTTCAAAATCGAGGATGAAATGAATTAAAAAATTCTGCCCAGGGGTTTTTCGCATCTGCGAGCAAAAGCCCGCTTCAGCGGTACCGCATTTGCGGTCTAACTTCCGCTTCTGCGGAAATCACTTAAGGGACCATATTCCGCATCTGCGGTCCACGATTCGCATCTACGACTCCTCAGGTGCGGTCCATATGCCGCATTTGCGGTCCCTGACTACTCTTCCCAAATCCACTTCTGCGGCTCCCCTTTTGCATGTGCGGCACCGCACCTGCGGTCCCCAATCCGCAGGTGCGGAAATACCAGAAGCAACAATCTTCTGAAATCTCTCAAGTCCAAAATCTTCCCGTTAACCATCCGAAGTCACCCCGAGGCCCCAAGACCTCAACCAAAAACACCGACATGACCCAATACCTTATTCGAACTTGTTCCAATCATCAAAACACCTCAAACAACATCAAAACACCCAAAACTCATCGAATTCAAGCCTAATTTTTGAGAAATCTTCCGAAATACATTTTCGATCAAAAATCCGACCAAACCACGTCCGAATGACCTGAAATTTTGCACACACATCCCAAATGACATAACGAAGCTACTACAACTCTCGGAATTCAATCCTGACCCTTATATCAAAATCTCACCTATCAATCGAAAATCGCCAAAATATCAATTTCGCCAATTCAAGCCTAATTCTACTCCAAACCTCCAAAACCAATTCTGAACACGCTCCTAAACCATAAATCACCTCCCGAAGCTAAACGAACAGTCGGAACTCACATCCGAGCTCTCTAACACATAAGTCAACATCATGTTGACTTTTCCAACTTAAGCCTTCTTACAATAGACTAAGTGTCTCATTTCTTACCAAATCCTTTCCGAACTCAAACTAATCAACCTGATCACATAAACACGAATAACGAAACGTAAAGAAGAAGAAATGGGGAAAATTAAGCGGTAACTCATGAGACGACTGGTCGGGTCGTCACATCCTCCCCAACTTAAACAAACGTTCGTCCTCGAACGAGTCAAGAAACATATTTGAAGCCTCGAATAGATGAGGATATCTGCTCTGCATATCCTGCTCGATCTCCCAGGTAGCCTCCTCCACGGGCCGACCTCTCCACTGCACTTTCACTGAAGTTATATCTTTTGACCTCAACTTCTGAACCTGACGACTCAAAATAGCTACTGGCTCCACATCATAGGTCAAATCATCATCCAACTGAACCGTACTGAATTCCAAGACATGAGACGGATCCCCAATATACTTTTGGAGCATAGAAACATGAAATATCGGATGCACACTCGACAATATGGGTGGCAAAGCAAGCTCATAAGCCACCTCCCCAATCCTCCGAAGCACCTCAAAAGGCCCAATGAACCATGGACTCAAATTTCATTTCTTCCCAAATCTCATGACACCCTTCATGGGCGAAACCTTCAGCAAGACCTTCTCACCAACCATGTAGGACACATCTCGAACCTTCTGGTCCGCATAACTCTTCTGTCGCAACTGCGCTGTACGAGCCATCTGAATACTCGACTGGTAGCTATTGTTATAAGAAAACTCTGCAAATGGTAGAAACTCATCCCATGAACCTCCGAAATCAATGACACAAGCACGCAACATGTCCTCTAATATCTAAATAGTACGCTCGGACTGCCCGTCTGTATGAGGATGAAAAGCTGTGCTCCTCCACCTGAGTACCCAACTCTCGCTGAACAGACTTCCAAAACTGGGAAGTAAAGTGAGTGCCCTGATCTGAAATTATAGAAACTGGAACACCATGCAACCGAACAGTCTCCCTAAAGTATAACTCTGCTAACCGCTCTGAAGAATATGTAGTACACGCAAGAATGAAGTGTGCGGACTTGGTCAGCCTATCCACAATCACCCAAATAGCATCGAACTTCTTCAAAGTCTGTGGAAGTCCAAGAACAAAGTCCATAGTGATCCTCTCCCACTTCCACTCGGGAATGACCATCTACTGAAGTAAGCCACCCGGTCTCTAATGCTCATATTTCACCTGGTGACAATTGAGACACCGAGCTACAAATCCCACATATCTTTCTTCATTCTTCTCCATTAATAGTGC